TTCCAGCCCAATCCATATGCATTGTCAGAATTATGCATTTTGACATCATGCATTGTGAGATAGTCAACTGTATTATGGTAAGTGTTTCGTAATTCTACATCCTTCATGATTTTATTGGTCACAATAACATAACGGTCATCAGTTCTGTCCTGATTACGGAATCCTTATACATCGCGTCTCAATGCCCAGCCTAGAGCCCTCTGAATTACGTTTTTCTTTTTACTTCGTCTGGCGCTTTTCCGCGGAAACGGCTTCAGGAGCTTATGTTTCGTTGCCACGCCATCCTCTATCACCAAGAACACCGTCGACTCCACCCTTGAGCTCGAGGGCACCGGCTCCACAAGCGTAGGTTCGTCGTGATCAAGCGACAATCCCGCGGCAACCTCGGCTTTCAAACTTTCGGTGATTCCAGGGGAAGGGATCCGTTTCGTGATTCTCCGAAGACGGCGAGCCCGTTTCGATTCTCGTATGGGAAAGCACGACTTGTCAGAAAACTCGTCGACTGAAGGCCTAGTCTTCTCCAGGGGCATTGCCGGCAGTCGATCGGGTGATTTTGGAGGCAGAGGCGGCAGGATGTTTGCCGCGGCTTTGAGTAGGTCATGGGAGGACCGGCGGCTGGGGAGTAGCAAAGGAGACATCGGAGGGGATGTTTCATGAAAGGGGACGTCAAAGGAACTTTGCAGCTGCATCAGAGGTATAGTGGGTCCCGGTGGCATGCTCTAGAATTCTCACTGAGATTAAGCCCCAGTACGTTGATGTGAAGCTCACCCTTATAATTGACCGAAGGAGTAATTCTCCTTGGTTCAAGTAACTCTCTACTAGGCGGAGAGAGCTCATCGCTCGGCGCAGTTCAGACACGGCATTGTTTTGGTGGCCTAGAAGCAGGAGGAGAGACAGGGATTCAGCTGTGGCGTCATTCATCGCTGAGGGTACTAGGGCCGCGGATTCGTTTTGCATGGAATATGTACCGGAAAGAACAATACGGATCCGGTTAGGGGCTCTATTGTTCATTTTGGTCTTGTTCTTTTCCATATAAGATTGTTTCCTTGACGACACTGGTCCTTTCAGAATTACTGGACAGAGATCCTGTACGTACCGGGATTCCAGTGCCTTTTGGTAACTAGTAATAAGAGAAAGATAATGAAGATAGGTGTTCGAAGGCCATAAAGCGAATGTTACCCCAGACTCGTGTGATTGGATTCTTGTTCTCGTTTTCAAATTTCTACGTTCCTGTTGACGTGGTGGGCCATAACAAAGTTCCGCATGTCAGAGCCCTCTTAGGATTGGGAAATGTTGACGCTTCCCCCCATTCAGCTTAACTAATTTTTGTCCAACATGGAAAGATGTTCTCATAAATATTTTGGGCATGAATATTTTTCAGTAAAAATGCCCTGGACATGTAGTAATTTCTGATGACTAGAATGATATATACAAATTGCAGTGGACAGTGGACAGTGTAAATATCAACTGAATAGTCCACCGAAAGGTCAACAGAATACAAATAGATTCTATTCCTTCCTTAAACGGGTCATTCATTGACTCAACTGTCATCTAAGCATTCTGATGCACAGACTATGGATGAAAAGCTTGGTCATCGAGCCAAGCAATGGCATGCTCAAATTAGCAGCAGGCACCTCTTCCAACTCGATAAGTTTGCCACGTCAAAGGCCACTAGATATGAACATAAACTTACGACAAACTCATGCATTGCTTGAGGCGTAGGCAAAAAACTCTCACACTTGGAAAGACAAAGACTGGGAAGCGAAATAGTCTACAAAGAGTGTGAAGAAAGTTCATAAATCTCAAGTCTGTGTCGCACCTCTCGTATCAGCTGTTCCACGCCGCCTGTGGTGATTAAATTGTACAATTTGGTAGCCAGAAAATGTAAGAGCCCCAGTACAACAGACCAAAACTCCTTCCATGCGTATCCTGTCACTCTGTAAGAATAATATCCGGGAAAAGATACTGGAATACTTGCCTAGATGTATGCGACCTTTCTGCAAGTAGAAGACCGCTCTATGGCAGACCCAGATACAACACCTGAACGTTACCATCGAAAATGAGCATTGAGCGTGCAGGTTCTAGAAGTATTTATTGTACATATATAGGTTCACTTCTAATCGCATGTGAATATTGTGTCATAGCCACAGAACACGGCAGTCAAGTAAAGCGCACAATGGCGGATGTCCTGGACGAGGTACAGGTAATAAGGATAGCCTTGATAAAAAGTCACAATGATAAGGAAAGTATATGAAAGAAAGATTGTGGATTGACCTGCCGACACAAGCACATTCGTTAATCATTGGGCTTCGAGAGCACCACCAAGACGGTGTCGGTTTCTACGAGAGCAAGAAGACAGTTGATGCACAAATTTTCATAAGCCACAGAGCGCTGTTGTAAGGTCGAGGTGGCATGAGTCAATAGATAAGACGATGGAGTCAGTAGAGTCGACGACGGAGAAGACACTGTGCGGTCAGGCTCGTTGGAGATTAAAAACACCGACGAGAACAGTACGTTCCCTCGAAGAAATTCATACAGTGGTAATAAAATAATTGTCACTTCCATTGGCCTGTTAAATAATTACCTTCATATCAATGACATAGAAAAAACATGTATACTGGTTCTTGAATAATTCACGAGGGGGATGAACTGGTGCAGGGGCTAGGGCGCGATGGGGTTGTAACGATGCTAGGAGAGTGCTGAAGGTTGGTGTTAGAGCCGGAGAAACATCGTCCTCAGAGATCTCTTGATATCGGCTAGAAATTTCTCAGTTCCAGAATCCGATGGTTTGAGACTCGAGATGCATACTTTATTGAAGCGGTAAGCATGAAGTCGGCTGCCCAACAAATTTTCTTCATCAAATCTATGTCCTTTGTCTCTTTGATTTGCAACAGGTAAGGATTGCTGTAAGAGAACTGGAAGGAGGGTCCACAAGTCGTCTCCGATAGTTGATCGTCGTACTACGAGGTGGAGGGGGTGCTTGCATGATTGCGTTTCCCGTCGGGAAAGTGGAAGACGTAGTCTCTACAGACAGGGTTATAGGTTTGCTTTGGGATGGATGCCGATCAGAAGTATATTTTTGCGAGTCATGACATGTGAACGAAGAGAGGCTTTTGCGACCGGAGGATTGTGACACGAAGACAACAAACACGGCGTACTCTTTAAATGATCAAGAAGGTGTTCGTCAAGGTCGTTTAAAGAGCCAAGAGGCGGCGTTGCCTATTTCCCTCGATTCCATTGGCATTTTAGCTTTTCCGCAAGTAAGGTGTCTTTACACTGGTCGACGCCTCGTACAACGAATATTTGGACTGGATCTTGCGGGACCGTAGCTTGCGCTTCTGGTAATACAAGATTAACGTTCCTGATGACATCGGAGGCCACAAGAAGTGGATACTTGTCTTGATGAGGAGCAAAAACATCTATGTACAGATTTAAGGTACTAATGTGTCTGTATTGTCCATTCAACTTATCAGGTGCATAGATGTCTCCGAAGCCAACATTGCTTTCCACAATTTGGCTAACTCTGGCAGAGGCAGAGCATCTTAAGAATCAGAGTGGAAGATGGATAGGGTCTTGATCGCTTTGTCGCGGAATTTTTTGTCTACTCTTCGTGTCAGCATATGTAATCAAATAACGAATATATCTCACCTGTCGATGAGACACAGGTAACAACGTTGAAGACGCCGCCATTGTGGTTCAATAAAAAATTCAATTTCCGATCACAAGACAGTGAGATCACATTTCTCCGGACTGGTGGTTCCGTCAGCTCTACTGACAAGTTGATTTTTAATCTAATCAACTATCGCTCTCCTGGGTTCCATTTTGACGGACGAAACACCTTTGTTATAGTTGAACCTCCGTATTGATGTCAAGATCTCCTATTGGAACCGTATCGCTAGGTCCAAGAGAGGGAATCGGCAATGGCCAGTGATGGTCTCGGTCGTAGCTATGGACAAGCGGGAATCTACGGCAATGCAACACGTGATCTCGGATGAACCGGACCGTGCCAACGCTTCCACTATCACTTGCCAGTCTGCGTTTTTCCCTGTCCTTAGGAGCACCGGTATCAATTCATCCACCTCTTTTAACGGTTCTCGATTCGTCTTCAAGAAAGCATATTCCGAATGTGGAGCTTAGGCGGCAGCGCTGTGCACCCGGTAGTTAGAAGGCGATCCAGACATCTTTATTCCTTTGGCAAAAGGGTTCGTCAAGCAATCATCCAATGCGACGGACACCTCTAACGGTGTGAATCTGCCAGTGTAACCAACTCGGACGGGAGATGTCCAGACCGTCTTCCGCCTCTGGAGATCTCAGAAGAAACGAGACGTCTGCTCATTGCTGGGTCATACAAGGTAATTTTCAGGATCAAGGAATATTTCGAGAGCAAAGGACAGAAGTGCTTTTACCCATGGGTCGAGGTGCGACGTTCTCCCTTTGAGTGTTTCGTCCAATTAGATATCATCCTCTAGATAACATTCAATCTCGAAAATCCTGCAGAAAATTATCACATTCCTCTTCTCATTAGCCCCTACTCCTTTACAACATACCGTGGCAGCTCAGCGTGCTGAGCCCAACGTCGATTCATGAATAAATGTACTGTATTACTAGGCTAGCCAAAATGAATCAGTTCCAAAAGGTCTGAAAAGATATCTACGCGCTTGTGTCTAATTATCACGGCTAGGGGGTGTAAAGGTAATACAGAAAAATGATGTGGAATGACTGGAGTAGATGTATGTACTACGATGTGCGGAAACACGCGAGTGACAGACAGGTGAGAAAGGAACTGAAATAATACATGATGGGGATAATTAGCAATTATCGCCCAAGTACATTGGAATATTGTACGCCCTTGATGTTGGCACCACGCATCGATGACTTGACATTTCTCAAAAAATTGTCTGGGGATTTACTCATCTCTACCGCGGCCTCTGATGAAGAGTAGTAAAGGGATTAGATTAAGAATAAGTAAAGGCGGGTGTTCACGTACCCTTGTTTAGAGGATTATTTGCATTCGGGTCTAACAAAAGATACTGCAGACCAAGCATAACCGAGGTTAGGTTAAGAACCGGCTTCCAATCTTCTCGAAGGATGTTGAGACAGACATTGCCCTCGAGATCAACGTTAGGGTGGTATATCTGCGATGGCATGGATCAACAAACGTTTCAGTTGGAAGGAAATGAAATGAACAGCTTACCGTCTGAGTACACTTCACTTTTGGTGGATCGTGAGGATAATTGGAGTTGATGGCGAAGGAGAATACAAAATTGCCGCCCTTGTACATTCCTGGATGTACGATGATCACCGCCTCATGCAAGAATACCACGGCTATGCGAACACGTTGAACATACCTTCGTCTGGGGTAATGGTGAGTGTGAAGTTGAGGAGATCAGCGGGATTAGGGAAATTTATTTGCATGGTAGAGGGAATGTCGAGCTCTGTCACGTCTAAAAGGGAGAAATGGTCATCAATGGCCAATCCATACACGAGGTGTACGAACGCACCTTTCTGCACTCGTATTTGGGCAGCGTTGACCTTGGGCTTTTTCTTGGCCGCTGCATCCTCGTTCTTCTTCATACTCCATATCTAATAGATGATTCAGCGGCATATATCCTGGAGAGAGCGAAATAAAACCTTGATCATCGTGGTAGGGCGGCGCGGATGTAGGTGGTAGCGTGAATCAGAGTAGTGGTGGTAATTCGGAGAGTCGATCCTGGAATGGGCCTTATTATCCAAGTTGACACAGCCACTATATTCGCGTGGAACACTCTGGAACACTCTAGGGATACGGAGGTAGTGGTTGAAGAACGCAAGAAAGTAAGCTAGAGGGATTGGTCTCATGTTCTTCTCTTATTTCTTTGATCCAGGTAGCGAATGCTCTGATTGTCCATGGTGCTCTGCTTCTACACAACTCCGTGTATCAGAGGAGGACAACATCACCTTTCTCGACCTCTTAGAGTATTATTTTGCACAATCTGAAGACATTCTCAAGAAGGACGAGAGGCTCGAGCTATCAAGTGGGCGTTACCCTTGAGCTCACATAAAACCGAAACGTGCAGTGGATACGAGTTGCCTGCGTGTCATAGAACTATTAGATTGCTCACAGACCGGTGGATATCAGTGCTCATAATCGAGATCCAAAGTGTCGCTTCTTTTGGAAGATGGGAGTTATGCCGCCGCAGTATCAGACGCAGTTTCCCTGTCTCAATGCTCCTAATGTTGTCCCCCAGGCCGAACATATCAAGGAACGCTGGCTGGCAACCATGGAAAAGTGGGGGGATGTCTATGAAACGTGCGTAAGGCTCTCACTTCCGCCTCGTGTTTTCCAGCCACTCTCTAGCATTCTCCAGAGAGTGGAGAACCTAGCTGACATGGCATCCACCGGACTTGGTCTACGTGCAGAGACGTTCCGCGAAGCAGGGAGATACGGGTAAGAGCATTTTCGTCCGTCCGCCTTCTGAGTTCCGATCTCTCCGGAAGACCACATATTCTAGCGCCCAACGCTTCGGATCTTGTCAAATACGGAGAGCAAAATACCATTCTCGCTGGTTTTCATACTGATCTCAATTCTTTGACAATCCACGGTCGTTCCAGATATCCTGGCTCATATGTATGGGCTCGGAATACCGGCAGACGTATCTCAGTCCAAATTCCAGAAAGAAACTACTTACTTGTTCAGGCTGGGGTGCAATTAGAGTACCTCAGTTGTGGTCTAATCAAGGCGGGTTACCATGAAGTCGTCGTTAATGATAAAACTATCGTGGTGTGCATCCCGTTTAATTGCTATATGTTGTCTGTCACCTTAACACGGGCATTCGAGGTCATCGAGCAGCGCAAAAGAGAACACCCCTCACGACTTCTGATTCGAATCCTATCTACTTTCCTCTGGCATCTCTCTTCTGATTATGATCTGGAGCCCATTCCTGCTTTAGCAGAGCACTCAAGAGCGATTCGGACTGCTTACATCAATCTGGAAAAGGACGATGGAGAGGAAACAGTTTACGGACCCATGAAATTTGGCCAGCAGGTCCGGAAGTAAGCATCTGCTGAAGGTGTTATCCATCCGTATTCTCGATTTCTATCATACACACCCTGCAACGTTCCGTATTATTCATGGATTCAAGCGTGTACCTAGCCTTCGCTCACTGAGGCTTGTGCAGGCTAACCGCAGACCCATCCGCTTCTAGAACCGATTCGCTTTACCAGTGGAAGATATCTCAAAATTACACGCTGTCATGATGCGTGCACACGTCGCTTTCCTCTTGCATTGGGATGAAGCAAAATCGGTGCAATCTGCCTGTTTTGTGATGCTAGAGGATTCTTTCATAAGGCATTGACTTCGAATTTCTATGACCAGACATACATGTTTGAGGAACCTCAGCGTCGCTGAACGACCTTCCGTTTCAATTCCGGGAGCTATCGTGAAGCTCGTATCCCATCTTAATCTTCCCTCTCTGCAGAAATTGACACTGAAATTCGAGGGAGCAGGTATCATTTTTCCAACTTTCTCTCAGCAAACAGCACCTTCTTTGATGGACCTCGAGATTCATTCTCCTAAACTTATCGCAGAGGGCAGACCATTGGCGAAAATTCTGAGGCACATCCCGGGACTCACGAACCTTATTCTTGCGGTATCGTTCCGAGCAGCTGATATTTTTCTGTAACTTGTAAGAGTTCGACATGATATCGTTGCGTTCGAGAAAATTCCCCGTCTACGTACCATTTCACTTGTGGGCCCCCAGAGAAACAATGATGCGATCACTGTGATAGCCAAAGCGAGGCGTCTTATGGCAGGAAGAGATGAGCTGTACTTGACAAAGATCTACTTAAATATGGACGTCCAGGCTGCCCCAAGAAAATATGAAGCATTGAAATGAATTGCGCCAAGGAGGTCGAGAGGCGGTCTTTCCAGCTTCATAGCATTCGTATTAGGTGTTCTCGTGTATTTGATTATTTGATGTTGTACTTTAAGTGATTCTTGTTCCACCGTTATTAATGACCGTAGATTAGATCCTGGATTTCTGTGTCCGCAAGCAGGTTGTCAGGAAACAGAATAATGAAAACGCATTTGGCTTGATCTAGCAATGAGGTGGTCGCTAGGCCAATATTCCCCACCAAATTCTGCTGCTGCTGTATGGGTTTCTCCCACTCGATGGCTGCAGGGATTTGAACAAGCACATCCCGGGATCTAGGAAACAGGGGTTCAGTCACAGGAGGTCATAAGTAAGCACAGGAAGAACCATACCGTATCTTTCGATGAGGATGTTCTGTGTCATAATACATGTGAAAGTGAAACCCAGACTCGACTTGACCTTAAAGTGTAAGTGTGAAGTCACGAGTGGGGTGTAAACATGTCCGCAGTAGCTTGGGCTTCTAGCTGCAATGCACAATATAGAATGAGGTTGAGCATATTCATAACGTTATCCTGGTAAGCACCAATTAGATCATCAGATGTATCGAGCTTACTGGTAAGAATAATGTATTCATGAAATAATAATGACCTTTGCACTCCTATATCGGTATTAATAATAGATACTTCATTATGCTACGCCGCACAGACACCATCACGTACAACTTCGCACCCACACGGCCACCTTTTCATCCAAATTCAATGTGGCTGTACTCACCGCCGGACATCAGCGTCGACCGAGGTGCACGGACACCATAGCATATATGCGTTAACATGAATTGTTTCATGCCTTCCTCCCACATCATCACAATCAGAAAATCATCTTCTGAAGGTGAGTTTGTCGTGGATTTCGAGTCGGTGATTTTCCTTGCTTGTGGAAGATTACCATCTCAAACACGGCTTCTAGGATTTGTCCAAGTAATGCAAGGGTATCGAACACCGTGTGTGAGGACATGAATGCTCGATAAATGAAGTACTATCGTCTTCATCGACCCCCCGGGCCTTAGGTCCACCTGCTCAATGATACCTCCTAACTCAGGAGGGCATTACATTGGCTGATGAGTAATGCAATAAGTCATTCATATCACTGAGATTCATGAGTGTGCCATACTGTGCCTGTACAGTATAGGGGTATGAGGTATGAAGGGATAAATGTAAACAGCACTCACAAACACCCACAGAAGCCATTACCAAGTTTTGCTATTTATGGAGAACATTGGCTATATTTTCCACTATATGCAAGCATAGGCCCCTCTGCCCCTCCCCCCCCCAAAAAAAAGATCATCCACTGTCGGTGGCAGTCTGCCACTGTATTTCAGATACAAGTGATCATGAAGACCATCTCATCCACAAACCAGACATCACTCTCTTTTCCTAACCTCCCCCCTCCCCCCAAAAAGTAACTGTCATGTAAGTGTTGCACCAAATATATGTATAGTATTAACAGTTTCCATATCATGTCTTACTCTTATTACTTATGTTCCAAGCTTCCTTTATGGCATGAACAAGCTGATAATTACTTATGAAGAGATTGTTAGTGTGGACCAAATCGACTTCCCGGAAGGAGTATGTACATTTCACCATTGTCTGTTCCGAACATGTGTGTACAGTGCGTGTGACCCATTATCCAGCAAAACTATTCCCGGAAATGAAAAGAAATCCCTGGAATTGACCTATCCTTCCAACTTCCTCATGTCAGAGAGAGCCGAGTCGTCGGGTCACCGGAGTTGGAGATATGCTCCCAAGCAGCAACGGTATCTGCATACCGTACTCCTCAGGCTTGGCTAACTAACAGATGCAGCTGAGCCTTGGCTGGTCTATCATCTGACTAGCTTGGCTTTACCATGTGGCATCATTGAGCAATTGGTACCCTTCGAGGGTGATGACTCTTCCCAGTACACCTCCTCGACTTTCCGCATCCATTCCTTTGACATTCGCCACAGCTACAGGGCCGTCACCCGTAGATTCTGACTTCCAATCTCCCTCGCCTTTCTGTTGTATATCTACTGAGTCTGCTTATTTAACAATGGGCCAGAATTGAGTGATGCGGATCAGAGTGACGTGAGCGACTCGGGATACATTCTGCTACATTACGGTCGAAATATCTCTAGCATCATCACATGATGAACATGGTATTGATCGATGTCAAGCCGAAGTGTTCAGTTCGGTGGTGCTTGGCGCTTGTACTATTGATACCACCTATTTCTAGCTGCCGGCATCAACCGATTAAGCCATGAGGAAGCTATGCTCCCCCCCCCCCACAAAAAAAACATTACGCATAGAGGGGGACTTTTATTGATCCTGGCAAGATCTTTATTGCAAGATTTTCTCTCGGGACGGCGCGACCGGCCCGCGCAATTAACGAGCATAATCCTTACGATTCGAACTTGCTTCTTTCCTTCTTCCAGGCACATGAAATGCCAAGGCCCCAACGATGCCAAGGAAACTTTAGAACAGGGTCTCTTCCAGGCCTCAACGCCATTCTTCCTGCGTTTTCTGCCCTCACGAGCCATATTGGGCCTCAGCGTCAGCAATTGGATCATTCTAATTCGTCCACTGCCAATTGGACATCCGTCATCACTGATTTGTACACGTTCATGGGCCCATTCGTTGCTCGGCTCGTGGCTATGGCAGCCCCGATGCTCACTGTGACCTTGCAATGGAACACAATATTTCGAGAAGGTAACGTTGGACAGCTAAGCATCGGAAGCTTCCCGCTGGTATCAAGAACGAGTCTTACTTTGGTTCCCATTCGCTCATATTCCAGCGAAGAAGGTGGTCTGGCCGGGCCAACAGGTCCTGAGAGCAGAAGATCGACGACAGCTGGTCATTATTCCTGCCCAGCCAGTCCTGTAACTCCCGTTGATAATCTCCGTTGTTGAACATCTGGCCATGACAATCCGCGTTGGCGAAATAATAACATTTGCCGCAGTCGCCAGAGTTAATCTGACGATATCTATAGCCAAAACTGAGGATATGATGAATCATCAAAAGAGAAGGCCATTTACGAGCTCACAGCATCGTTGTGGAATCTATTCCAGCCATAGCCAGCACCAGTGTTAAGGCACTTTCCGGTAGGAACGTTGTACTGCCAAGCACAGTTGTTGAAGTAAGCATCATCACAAAGCCGCATATATCGATAGTCGAGGGAGTGGGCGCCAGAATGGCGAATATCAACGTGAGTTTGGTCATTGTGTGCGATAGGGAACGATGCAAATGTATCCAATATTCATACCTGGAATGCGTCAATTCGAGAACATCTGTAGAGATACAAATGTAGATTTAGCTAACGCACGCAGAGCGTTACCCTTCAACAGAACGAGAGTAATATGGCCTATCAATTGGGTAGAGCGGATATGTTGCTTCTGAAGGCTCGACATGATCTTCTGAGGATCAGGAGACGGTCACAGGTGTAAAACCTATTACGTGGTTGAGAATAGAAGAGGACAGAAGCTGAGATACCGACGTACAATGAGACGAGAAAACTTACTCCGAGAGGTGATAATCCACAGAAAGCGAGGCAAATAGAGGTATATCCATTAGGCGGCGTTCAAATTTACGGAAAGGGTGCACTATCGGATTCGCAGGACACATGAATTGTTGACCGCTGGTGGATTTGGCTTGCCAATAGAAGCTAGTTCACATTGTAATACGGTGTGATTTCATGGATAAGGACTTATTACAATTCATTAGATCTAGTAGCATTAACTTGATAGGCGTCAAGCGGTTCCAAAGAAACCTTATCGAATTTCGATGAGTACCCAGAGTTGCGCGATTCTAGGCAGAGAAATGGGTGGATTAGCATAATCAGTTCTTGATACCACAAGCAATAAAGTCGCATGTCTGTTGGTACAGAACGGAATATCTGTACTTCTCTATCATCCGATTTCCGGAGTCCGACCAGTTGGATCTCTGCGACCACATGTTTGATCGAAGTGTCTGAGGGAAGAGGGACTGAGATACCTGAAAGGGGAAAATCTTAGATCTTCCTATATTGGGGACGCATCCGTAAAAGTTGAACAGGCTGCCGTTGTTTCCTCGGAACGAGCCGACCTCAAGCCAACACCCTCGAAATGAAATAGACGCCCATATTGCGCCCACACTTGTGTTTCCGTTCAAATTTCCACGCTTGAATGTTAAACGTTGAACATCCCTCCTCAGTTGGTCTACTTCTATTTCTGAAAAGCCGAATTTTGTCCCGGCCCAATTCCGAGAAAGAGAATACTTTTGGATTTCTTCATCAATCATACATTTGAACCATGCCAGTCGTGAAATCTACCGTCTGCGAATGGGGTTCTGAACACATGCTACATCAGGTGAGCAATATTTTCACCCTTGGGATCTCTGATGATTATATATATTATTCGGATGTCTGGCCATGTACTATGTGGGATTCTTAAACAAGTGCTTTGCTCACCTGTTGCATATAATTGCCTAGTACTAATCTGAATCTTTCAGTGAAGTGCCTGATGTTTGTCTTTGGACTTTCTTAGCTCAGAGATCCCTTGTCCCCTTCGAGGCTGGGCGCTAATGGAATGAGATCATTTTTACAATCCATCACACTGATTCACATAAGGCGCGACTTGCCGTGTGCCTCTCTATATTATTCTGAAGGTTATTTAATAATGATCTGCACTGATTCCGATCTGATTCACCACTTCGGTTAGTCACAGTTCCTTTGCTTTTCTCATAACATACGATCTAAATATAACATTTCCCATAGTCATGACTCGAGAATCCATAATCAATTATCCTATCTTCAGACCACAGTAATATCAACACATCTCACGTTCTGTTGCGCAGCTTTCAGCAGCTACGGCACTCTGATACATTCCAATAAGCTCTCAGCATCGCACCATTCCTGTTGTTTCCTGTGGCCTTGTAGGCTGTGGGATTAACGGACAAGAAGATATGCTGGCGTCAGAGAACCTTCTACCTGTTAATAAACTTGACAATCGAAGTTGATATAGTTGGTATAGCCTTCGACAGCTGGGAAAGTCTGACCCTTCCTCGAAAAGAAAAGGAAAACAGGACGTTCGTGTTGGGAAACAAGCCGGCGACTCAGTCACGGATATGATCCGGACTTTTTAGTCATCGCCACATCGACGCGTACTTACGCGTCCGTTCTCGTAGTTTCTCTTTCCTCTTCTTATGGACTAGTTTAGTTTACTCTTAGAATATACTAGAAGACTTGGAGAGGTATAAAAGCCTCGAATTTGTACCATACTTTACACAGAATATCTACCTTACTTCTACTCTTACAACTACCAGCTGCTAACAGTTTGCTACTCGCTGGTGATGAAAATGTGGAAATATTGATTAACAACCCCCAGCAAAGATCCATTTCCTTGAGTCATTCTATCATCCACATCTCCCCCTCGACCCATGGCGATTCATGCGGCAGGTTATAAAATGCGGCCTCAATCATCAGATTCAATAGGTCCCCGACATATTTGTCCTTTAATTTGTGGATGATAATATCGAAGATCCCCAGAGGAATGCGAGGCTCTTGCATTCTGTTCGCTATGAGGATATCCTTTTCGAATATCAAGACTGGGCTCACAATTTATCTTCGTGGGGACGTCGTCTTCTGAGTACTCTCATCATGTTTATTTTGTTGTCTGGGATTACAATCAGCCAGGATAATCCCAATCGTAGAAAGAGATGCTAACTGAAAGACTTTCACATGGGGCCGAAGTCGCGCAGCACCTTCACTGTGGTCTTAGGGGAGATGAAAGCGACAGCCGAGCGAAAAGTCGACCGATTATATGTAACAAAATATGAACGGTATGGCATCGGTACTTGTTCAGAAGTTTTGCTGTGGGAAGGCGGTTTATGGTTCACAGTTCTTGCCGTATTGCGATGAAAGAGGACGCCATATTGGAAATGTGTTTACTAGTGCAAGGTATTTCCGCAGCGAAAGGTCATTAGGATATCGATAAGTCTGCGAGATAATGAGATGGACTTGGAATGGAGACTGTTCAACTTGAACTGACCTTGTGTGTGCAAAATAAATGCACCGTATGTACTCATTATGATACACGGGCCAAGGAGGCTGATTGAAGCTCATTTTCCTGACAGTCCATCATATGAGCGAGAATTTTTTAGCACGAGAAAACGAGAAGAATTGGGAAGAGAAACCGGCCCGAATCGCTAGAAGTATTTGTCATCACCCCTAAGTGATGATGTCAGCAGAATGCTCTTCCTTTTGCTCCCGCCATGATCTCTGCCAGTCCTCCTCGCAAACGTATCAAACTCGAGTCGCGCTCGCCACAACCAGACACTAACGACGAAGAGGAATATAACTGTAGTATATGCCTACAGCCCCTTGTCGACCGGACCGTCATTCCCACATGCTCGCATGAGTTTTGTTTCGACTGTCTCGTCGTCTGGACAGGTTCGGGGGAATTTTCGCGCATAGTCCAGTCAGGCTCATATTTTATCTGTAGACCAGTCAAGAAAATGTCCCTTATGCGCTCAGACCATTTCAGAGTATCTCATTCATCGGATCCGCTCGCGCTACGATTATCAGAAGCACTACTTGGCCCCTCTCTCGAAGCCTGGATTACTGCCATTGCGGGCTGCCCCGCAACGGGAACACGAAGGGCCCAGACGACAGCGCAGGCGAGACTGGGGTAGACGAGACCAGGATGAAGCAGATAAGTTAGAGCGGTCTATAGAGACACGGCGCTGGGTATACGAGCACGGGCTATATGCCAAGGTGGGCCGGATAACTTTTCATTTACTCTGTCTAACCACAGCGTAGCACGTAGCCTCGAACGGTTATACCAAATACCGGCCGTACCCCACTCCAGCGCAATTCTCTGCCAGCCAGGAAATGGTGAGCAAGACGACGATGTTTTTGCGGCGCGAGTTGAGAGTGTGGGATGATCTCGATGTTGAGGTACGTCTCTTACTTTTCATCTTTTCTATTTGGACGGCTGACGGGATATAGTTTTTCACAATGTTCACAATATCACTCATGAAATCCATCGATATACGCTCCGAGTCAGCGGTGAAGCTATTAGCCGAATTTTTGGACATGGATACAGGTGGAAGAACTATGGCAGAACACTTCGCGCATGGTGAGAAAATCATCTACGGAATATTCTTTTACTGAAGCAAGCAGAGGTTTACTCGTACGTGAGGTCGCCTTTCAAAGACTTGTTCGTGTATGATAGTGCTGTCCAGGTGAGCGAATACAACACGGCTCATTCTTCTTGGACTTACAACTGCTTGACTAGTATGACACGCCTCCCCATTTACTAAACTCGCCCGTAAGATTAAGACAAAGGCGATGGCACGAGATAGACGAGTACCCTCGACGAAGGTCCGGATCGAGGTCGGGTTCTCCGCGCGACGGCGACGACGAACGCTCTGTATCATCGTCTTCTCCCCGTGATAAGAAATGGCGCGAACACGAAGCTTCTCCCGCTCGGTCAATATCCTGGTCACCTTCAGGTCGTTATTACCCCAGCACAAGTAGAAAATCGTCTCCTTTCTTCGCAGCGCGAACACCTGCACCGAATGAAACCGAAGCAACCAAACTATGTCGATCGACCAGTCTTTCCGATGATAAGGGGAAATCCAGAGCTACCGACGAATCTGATAGTGATACCCCGAGCGCTGTTGTTCCAGCACCGGATGCAAAGGGCAAATCCAGAGCAGATTCCCCCTACCCTCCGCTTTCCAATTTCCCCGAAGCCCCATGTCGACGTTCCAATAAACGTATTCGTACCGCCTTGGACTCCGTACGTGCACACCTCGGTGCAGGGCCATCTTCCAGTCCAAACTTGCTCTCCCGGTTATCATCGGGAAGAGAGAGAAGGGATGGCTCTGCTGATACATTTGGTCGTTCACCCTCGAGTGGTCCAACACCAGGCCGGAGTCGTGAACCCGACTCACTTTCAGGACGGACCAATGATAGTAAAGACTCCCTTACGCAGGGACGAGCGCGTTTATTAGGGAAGCTGTTGGAGGAAAGGCGGAAGGCGTCTCGCCCTGCAGCAACTATGGATGATGTCGAACGTCGATTGAGGAGTCAAGCGTTGGTGAGGGTACGTCTCGCAGCTGAGAAACGCGCGAGGCAGTGATCATTCTGTCATTTCCTTGTGGGTCTTTTCGTGTTGATCGTGGATGGAGACATGGAATAAGCCCAGGCGGCAGCGACGAGGCGCGCACGGAGGAGGTAATGGGACGGACAGTCCAGATAATTGACGTTGAGTAGAAGCTTGGACTTCCTGTTTGACGGCAGCCCTGGATAACGCGCGCGCCTTGAGCGTGGGTGACAGATCTTTCTTGTTTTTTGTGTCACGCCGTTGCCACTGCTGTAGTCATAAGGGAGGGGGAGGATTTGTATCGTTGGGGAGTATGTTTCTTCTAAGTTCGCCGATAGATATAGATATGCACCAGTTGCATAGAAATGGTTTCGTTAGGGCCAGCTTTATCTCAATTCTCTTGTGCGGTTTACCCTTTGAAGTGTTTGTTCCTAAATCGTCTGCTGAAGCATTTACCGGAGCAGAGGATCCCCGACTCAAAGATGGTGCTTTGGAAAAGAATCAGGTGTCCCAGCGACTTTTCTCTGTTCCCCATCGCTGCACTCCTCTACTGGACTTTCTACCGTAGTCCCGCTTGATAGTTGAGCAGATGTGCATCCTTACAAATAGCTTAGTTTTTGATCACCCCAATCAAAGTCGTTAAGGTGTCGTTTAAGAATTTGGATTTGTTTTTTGACTAATGTTTCCTATGACCATCGCCATCAACATAATCATCCTGTCATCGTGTGCGATCGAAGCAGCAACCCAGCGTCTGATAACTGGCTTATTTGACGGATTCGGCGGCTGTGTTCTATAAACGCAGAAAATATCCAGTTCGGAAACAGTTTTAAAGACATACCGTCACTCATTTTCTTTGCTTGTCTGAGATCATCATTAAAATATGAATTGATATTTAGGTAGGTATGCGTGGGATGACAATATCAGCGAGAAAAGCCTGCACTGCGAATATTAAATCTATAAGAGAAGCTAATAGAAAGACAAATCTTTATCTTTCAAAAATCCAGCCAACATAGTCCTCGCATGTTAGACTGACAGGCGTCGGAGTCCTTTACTGTCCCCCTAACTAGCACATTCCTTGCGATGTCAGGGCTGTAGACCCGGCCATTCATTATTGGGACCTTATGCCCGCTCCGATACCATTCGGATTCTCCTTTGAAGTGTTGCAAGACAGTACTCAGTGGCCTGAAAGAAAAATACAGGATGAGAAGCCTATGACATGGCGACAGACAGAATCGAACCGTGACCATGACTGGTCCTAGCGGGTGTCAGGTCTACCATTCTGGCGTCGAAGAGATATTTCAATACACCTCAAGTAGGAAATTCGTTGAAGGTACTCAGTTTTGCAGAGACTGGGAGGCATAAATATCAGATTTCAAAGTGGGATGTGAACCTTCAGCGAGGATACGGCTCTATTTCACTCCGTCACCTTTGCCTTGATCTTGGGATATGAGTCATAGTAGCGGGGGGATTATAATTATAGAGAGACGTGAGAACAAATTCATGTTTGCTCACCTGGACAGTGCTGTTGTACACCAATAAATCCTTGGATGGCGAATGACGGTATGTTCTTGATGTCTATGTTCAGATGCACGGTTTCGAGAGCAGAGTCAGTATGCATGCCGCGGAGGCCTCTATCCACCAGTTCAGGATGGATTTTGGTTCATCGCTTCTTGTGTGCATGGTTATGTCGACCATGAGGGTGTTAACGTGCGAAATGTGGAGCGTCTTGAGTTGGGTGTGTAACGCTCCGGTTATACACCGGTACTTGCATATATTTATTTATACTATATAAGGTAATCTGACCCGGAGACATTCTCTGCAACAGATAAGAAGATTTGATTTTTATTATTTCTATTTTGAAAAACAAGTGACCTTTTTTTAAATTTTTTATATACATAAAGTTAGATCAGAGGAAGGAAAAAGAATGTTGCTTGATGTATATCAAAAGAGGATATTGTTTTTAAAGGACAAGTAGTTATAAATGAGTGCAATGTTAGGTGAGATATGTGTATAACCCATTGTGAGCATCTGAACCAAAGCTGACAGCCACATAATCTAATCAGAACATTTTCTGAATATATAGCCTCAAAGTGTACAAAACCTGAATGCTATATAAACAAATGAACTTGTCAACATTAAGCACAAAGAACTCCATCTTTTATATTTGTTGTTACTTATTTAAGCAATAATCTGACTCAGCCAATCATCAAGGTTGATGGTGAATTTCAAATATGATGATAAAGCAGATCATCAAGCTCAAGATGACTTTTGAGCTTAGTAATACTTTATTTGGAAAACTTGTATATAATAGAGCCAAATAATATATGTGTTTTCAATGTTGCTTCTTAGCTTGATATATATTCTTTGGGATTGCTACTAATAAGATCTGCTAGAGGCTAGAGTTTAAATTAAAAGTGTCAGTAAGCTAGCTAACATGTAGCTAGAGAATGACTGAACTTTAGAGTATAGTGTTATGATTTTAGCCTCTAAATCATACTCAGCCAAGGCTTTGTTTGAGGCAGTGAGACATTCTAAATAGTATTTAAGTCAGTAGTATACAGTGATATGCTCTAGTCTCAAGCTAGATCAATATATTGATCAAACTCCTAAATTCTTGATGTGACTATCACTTCAGTACCAATACTGGCAGTCATAGTCTATCAACCTCTATATCTCCTTTCTCTTATCATCACCTTATACATTCTTATCCTCATTCCTCTGCTTTACCTTCAGTTAGTGTCAGACTCCAGCAGTTGCAGTGCATTGCATTTGTGATTATTTGGTTGTCATCTGACATACAGGTTTTAATTTTGCTTTTACTCCTATATTAATTGTTCCACATCTACAACACCTTATTGTGCTGTGAATCTTCTATGTATTATAATTTGATATTTATCATTGAGCTTGAGGTTAGTCAGGTCATTGCCCAAATAGATAAGAAATAATATTAAGAGTAGAGTACTTTGTGCTTAATATTAACAAGTTCAATTGTTTACATTCAGTTGAGAGGTTCATCTGACACTATTGGGGTTTTTGGATGACCACTTATTTATAGATAAGTATATCATATTAAATAGCACAATCATTATCATGTTTTAATATTGTTGAGAAAAGTGTGGCTCCTCTAATCTGTATTCCTATGAGATGATCTATTTGGAATACAAAGGCTCAATTCACTTTTGACCTGCTAGAGGTTATTGTCTTTTGAAGATGCTTATCATAGTTGTTTTTTCATCTGAGATTACAATTAGGCTGAAGACATCCAGTTGGAGAAAGAGTTACTCACTGGAATTTCTCAAGTCACACAGCATTTATCTACTTAAGAGGAATAAGACAGTTGAAGGAAAGGTTGACTGAGATTATATAGTACTGTAGCAGTGCAGGCCTCTGATTCTTTTCAGTTGGAGTTAAAAAATCAGGATCATTTGCCCTTTTTTCTGCCTCAAATTTCCACTATCAAGGATCTTTGGAAAATGCTAATTGCGCCTCTTTTTATGGTAGATTATGGTTATATTCCTCTGTCTCCTCAGCCATCTGTACTTTGTGGAGTTTTTGAGTTTGGAGTACTTTTATTTATCTTATATCAATGCACAATTTATTCAGTTTTTTTTGTAAAACAAAGCCACAAACAAATCTAAAAAACTATATCATGAAGCTATATATGAGGGAATAGAATGGAGAACTGGGCTATATCAGAGCTATTAGTTTTGTGAAAGAAGTAGTGATCTACAACATATTCTGTAATTGGATAAATATACCAGAAGGGCCAATAAAATCCAAAACCTCACACTTTATGATTCCAACAAATAGGCAACACAATGAGAGGATAATCAGACTCAACAGTATGCCATGCACCTAGTTGCTTGATAGTGTGATTGCAGATATTGCAGTCTCTGAAGTACTAGCTATCAGAGCCATGAGCTGTTGAGTTGCTACAGTTATCAATGTTGTGGACATGGCAGAGACATCTTGTTGTTGTTGCTGTCATCATTGAAAGAAAAGGAGTAGAGAAAATGTAAATGTTCACAGCAATATGAAAACCTCACCTAAAAGTGTGATACCTATATCAATGGCCCTGTGATGTTTGAATGTATCTTCAGATCAGAGCAGCAAGTCCATAAAAGTGGAGCTCTGCAGTCTGGCCACCTTATCTGTCTGTTCTTCTGCTATGCACACTTTTCATACTCATATTATATTGACAAAGGACAGAAG